TTGTATTGTATTACTCTGTAATTGTTTGTTTTACGCAGATTGGTTTGGTTGTGCAATACTTTATCTAAAGGACCTCTTTGAAAAAAGACATTTTTGTCTATTAAAGGCCTGTCAGTACGCCGTGAGACAAAAAAGAAAGCAAAATCTGTTATTCGATTATACTAAATTAAAGAAAGCTATTCCAAAGATATGGTTCAGTGATCTTACAAAGGAAGAAACTGAACCAGTATATTATACTCACTCTCTAGAAATTCCTTATTTTAAATTTGGAAGAGTGTCTTTACTTATCAGTGACGTAAGCAGCAAACGTTTCTACAATCTGATATCTTTTAAACAAACATTCAACAACAGATGCTGTCTTGTTGGGGAAAATATACCACCAAGAAATATTGACTGGTATTCCGTGTTCAAAAGGAATTTAACATAAAAAACAAGGGAACATCGCTTAATGGAGTTCAATTTTAAATTGCTGTACAATATACTACCTGTTAAAAACAATCTTTACAAATGGGGATTAGCAGACGACATACACTGTTTCCAGTGCCATGTCATAGAGGACATAGTGCATGTGCTAATCGAATGTGAACAGAATAAGAATTTCTTTGATTATATCAAACATGTGAAGTACACTTTTAATATTGGTTTTGTCATGGATATCTCTTGTTTACTTAATATTAATATTGACAGAGAGATAGACGTTGTAACAACGATCGCATTATGGTGTCTATATAAAAATGCATGTTAGTCATCCGGAATAAGAATGGATTTAATGAAAAACGTTTCAAACTAAGATACGTATTTGAAAGAGAAATCAAAAACAGAATAGTTGTTAATCAGGAGCTTAAAAAGCCTGACCAGAGGTTGCCAAAGAAAATTTTACAAGTAATTTAGATGAAAAGTAGCAAAATATTGTATAGTTGAGAAGGATATATGATTTATATTGATAACATTGTGCGTCAATCGTATTTGTTCTCACATCTTTATTTTGATGTTTGAATGTAAATAAACACTTCATTAGAGGCACACAAAATATTTTAAAATTACTATGTAACCAGTGGAAACCAAATTTCCTGAAAAGGACAATAAATTATTTTACTTATCATTAAATGTTTCCTTTAAAAAGATGTATTACTCTTGATCCTTGCCTAAGTCTTATTCTTAGTCTCTCTCTCTCTCTCTCTGCGTGACTGCTATAAGTGTATGCTAATATGCTTACCAACTAGGGGACCTACGCCCTTAATTCATAAATGACAGTAATGAGGACTAATGCCCCACACAAGGGCACTAATACATCAACACGGTTTTGATCATGGGGCCCCACAGTTACGAGGCCATTGCTTTTCCACTGAACCATGACTGTACACAGCGGGGGCTTGGGTAGGGGGCAGTTCCCACAAATAAAAAAACACACAAAGAAAATGCAATAAATTATCAATAATTCATTGCATTTTACCCCGCTCCCCAACATAAAAATATCCTCTGTACGGCCATGCATTATGGCGCAGGGCATGGGCACACAGAAGATTGTTTTCTGTTGGGGACCGGGGGAAAATTCATCTTAGTAAAATGATAGCTAGGCGATGGCCTCCGGTGATTATCGGCCTCGTATGTGTTGCCCAACTTAAACAAATATAAGTAATAAATACGGGTAATAATAATTGTGTGCTCATATTTAGCGTTCTCACGCAATTGGTTTTACAGCGCTTTATATAATATGCAATCGGGGAAATCAGTTGAATAAACACGTCTTCAAGTGCTTCTTTTTATGGACGTCAAAGGTGGGGTGAAAATCAATTTGATATCAAATGCTCAAGGTCCATATAAAAAAGACCTTACGATATATAATGCAAATAAAACCTTGCACCCATTTGCAAGAATACGTACCTAGGCCTACTTCATAATTTGGGAAATTGGGGAGCCCGGGGGGGGGGGGGGCGATTCGGATGGGTACATCGATGTGTATCCATGTGACTTAAGAGGGATAGAAGGGGGGGGGCGGGATAAGAGCACTTGTTTGTGTGGCCCCGGAAATTGGAAAATTACGTCGTCAGATATTTCGATCAGTTGCTGGGGGAGGGGGAACAAATTAGTTTTTGCACAATTTTGTTTGTTTTTGTAACAATTAAACAAATTGAGGGGGGTTATCCAGGCCCCCCAAGCTCCGCCATTTTGTCCGGATCCATTAGAAGCCAAAATAAGCTACCTTGCATAATTCATGAGCCTTATGAATTATGCATTCTGTAGGATGCTCCCCGCGAAAAGTGTACTGTAATGATGTTCACTACATGGTAAAAGACAATACGCGTATCAGCATAATCAGAGAGGTCAAATAATCTACTGTACGGAATTATGGGTAATTTATTCATCACGCTGCGCGCTAGCAACGCAAGTGATTCAGCGAATCAGCATGGATTATTCTGATGCGATCACCGTTAGGTGAAATACGCGCTCGAACTTGTATTATCGATCACCAGTATAACAGCTGGTGTACCCAGGATGCATCGGGAAGTGGACCTTAAAGTTCCACTCGTTGTTGTGTTTTTTTAATTACTTTTTTAAAGGTTTTAATGGCGTGTATAATTCATTTCTGAATATTTACGCCAACTAAGTAGCCTTTGAAAACATTATTACACCTCTACTTATTATTATTCCAGCATAAATTTTTCTGAAAATCTCTTTATTGTCCAAAAAATAATAATAACCATCCAGTTTCACAGATCTCAGGCTTGTTAAGCTCCACCCCTCATACCCAGGATGCATCGCGATATGGGGGAGTGGCCTTAACTTCATTGAATAAGAAATACTTGTCTCGATCTTATTCCCTTTTTAGTCTATCAATAACTGGGTCTGTTTTTGTTTTATTAAATAAAACATGCTATAAGCCATATAACAACACATTCTCTGGCTATGATTATACATTTTAAATATATTAATGTATAAAGTTTCCTTATTTTAGACAAACAAATTATGTGGCACAGTGGATGGTTTTTCTCCACCCACTCTCATCGTACCTTAAGGATTCCCTTTCTCTCTCTTTCTCTGGCTTTCGTAAATTATCTTCTGCAACTAACGGTTTGTTGTCTTGACTGCAGGCACGTAGCCAGACTTTGATGTTTGGGGGGGGGGGGGGGCACATACATGTAATCGATCGAGGTAAAAAAAAGGGGTCTAAAAAAGTTCAACCGATCGTGGAATTTTCTTTTTTGGGCCCCCCCCCCCCCCCCCCCGTGGCTACGTGCCTGCTTGACTGAACAACCTGTTGCAGTTCCATTCTGTCTCACTTTCAGTCGTAGTTGTTATTACCACTCATTTACGTTTACTCGTTATCAACTACGATCAACCATTCCATATTCACTCCATTACTGTCCACATTTCACTTGGATTAACTTCACTTTTCCTTTTTGCAGCCTTTGCAGGAGCTTTGAACATGTTTAATGTAGAGACCAGAAAGATCGGAAAATATGTTAATCATTTTATTCAAATTTTCTAACTTGAAAACGGAAAGTGAAACATTGTTTTTCAACATCTTGACATAATTTTTGTTTAAAGACAATGGAATTTAACGCTGGAAATTTTGAATTGGGTTGCCCCCCCCCCCCCCAAAAAAAACAAACAACAACAACAACAACAACAACAACCCAGAAGTGGTTTGTTAGTTAGGAGGCCCATGTCCTTTATAATTTTATTTTTAAGAATAGTTTTCTCTTTTTGTATTAATTTTACATTGGTATACCATTAATTTCACTGGGAAAACCACCCCATTCCCTTACACATCAATACTGCCATTACTTCTAGCAACAGTAATTCTATAATTCAAAACGTTTTCATTTTCTAAATCCTTCTAATATAAACATATAACAAATATAATATTGTTTACACTTTTGCAACCTGTTACATGGTCCATGTAGAAACAGCACCAGGAAGAGGATAACAAGCCCCCCCCCCCGTTTTCTTAAGCTAGGAAGTATCAAAACATGATTCTATTAAAATTAGCAGTTTGGATACAAAAGGCAATGATGATTAGCAGTTTCCATATTTAGTGCATTTAGAGGGTTGTCTTTCAAACCTTCTTACATACAATACTTGAAGCAGCAATAATGTAATAATCTACAAAACTTCAAATACAGAAGTCCATAGACTGAGGTAAATGAATTTCAACATGTATAATTATAATTAAAATATCATTGATCAATTCAATCTCTGATATAGACTGATAGATCTTTATCACTCAAATTTCAAGGAAATTTCTTTCTGCCCAGCCCTCAGTTTCATCATATAAGATGGTAGTTGACATTGTTAAAATGTTAATGTTTATTCATTGATGATTAGTTATCTTTAAATATTTGAAAGTTGACAAGATGATAAATTCATTAGCTTTTTCTAAATGTGGTATTCTACAAATATATAATACAAATAATAAATAAATAGTATGTAAATATTCAAGTTTCAACCCATCTCTAATGTCCTCTTTCATTATATGAGGGTTGCATCTTTAAGACGTAGTCCCATGAAGATGTCTTCTGCATTCATTGATGAAGTTGTAGGCTAGTTTTCAGAAGAAAGGGGTGTGATGATAACCCAAGTCTGTTGAATGGAAAAATGAAATAAGATACAGTGTATAAGAAAATAAACAACAACTAATAACATACACCCTGATACCTGCTCTGACAAAAAGAGGAAGGACTAATATTCACTTGGGATTCTAGTGGGCAAACCTAAACTATTTTACCTACAAGACTAGTTACTGACCACATGTTAGATTATTTCTGATGATCCCATTAAGACGATAGGCCTGCTGGAGCTTGGATCAGACAAGGTATGAAATAAGTAATACGTGTACAATGTACTTGTATTGTGAACTTGTGCTCAAAATTGAATAATACTCGGTTAAGTATGGGACATAAAATGACCACACAACTTGGACCAGAGAATGTACTGGAAATAATGATATTAAAACATACGTAATGTAGACTTATATTTCATCGATATCAACATTTTATTTTAAATCTAAATCACAATTGTGATATTCAGTCAAGTATTCTTTTACAAGTAACGGACAATGAAAAATATGTTTTTCAGATCTATAACTTTCTGCATGATATGTGTTCTACAATAGGTTATTGGGGGTACCTACATTGTATATTAGCACACTTGCTCGTATGAAGTGTAGTAGGCCCGCATCTCTAGATATGCTTCTGTCAATATCTGTTCTTTGTTCCTCTCCTGGGTTTGTAATCAGCATGCCTTCATCATCCACTGTAGAGAAGCATCATCCTGCATAAGAGAAAACAATGTAGGTACTTCAATTAAAAGTGATAATAATAGATACATATCAACCATAATACATCCTATAAACAGATTTTCATTAATCTTATGTTGTGTTCTTCTTCATCTTCATTGCTCAAGAAGTGAAAGGACCACTTACAAAACAAAGTAATGAGGGGTCCTGTGTATACCCTACATGTATGATCATTATTATTATTATGTAGTGCTTTGAATGTGCATTAGACATCGTTCTGTACACACAGGACCTCCTGTAAATAAGGACAAATCTCTTTGTAAACAAAGAATGGGAAGAACTAGAATGAAATATCCCTTCCACTATATACACTTGCAACATAAACTTAGTTCCATTTCCTTTTTAGTGAATTGATAGGTGGTCGTTTAATATTTGTGTGCTAAATATCCTGAAAATTTTACCTGCAATGGGACTTTCAGCTTCATCTTGCAAATATAAGAAATGTTGTAATGTCTACTCATCAGTTAACTCCTTCCAGCTCTTCATTAGTTTCAATCTGTTGAAACAAAAAGAAAACAAAATCAATATAGATCTAGCATAAAAGCTATTTTTCATGTCATGGTTGGCCTTAATTTTAATATGGTGTGAAAATCAACATTCCAATTTAATGGACCAAAGTACAAAGTAAAATTAAATGGAAGATTTAACTTGTGCCTCAAAAGTGCTTTATATGGCCTATAAATATAAAGTAGTCTTAAGTAGAATTGGTTTATTAAGACAAGAAGAAGTGGACTACATAAGTAAACATAATTGTGGACTAGGGGTCTTCTCTTACACAAACAAATAGATTTATCAACATGAACAGCACGATTTGGAGAAGAAAGAAATCTCTAATATATTAAAAGTAATAATAATAGGGGTCAGGCACGTACGCAGGGGGGAGGGGGTGTTAGACCTCCCCCTTGAGTTTTTTTTTTAGGTAGACCTAGACCTCTATATGTTTTTCTGGAAACCCCCCTTTTTTAGTGTTGATTTTAAAAAAATCAAAAAAAATCCTAATGGATGACCTCAAAAAGATCCCCCCCCCCCGCTTATTCAGCGGCTGGCTGAGTCGTTGCGAAGTTTTTGAGACCAATTTTTTTTTTTTAAATGTCCTCTTCCCCCCCCCCCCCTCCCCGCTTAATCAGCGGCTGGCTGAGTCGTTGCGAAATTTTTTGCCCGATTTCAAAATGTTAAACCCCCCACCCCCCCCCCCCTTGATAGGGATCTAGATCTAGATCTAGTACTAGTAGATCTACTAGACTCTAGGGACTAGGCTCTAGTAGTAACTGTTAGATCTAGACCTATACTAGAGACGAGTAATGACAACTTGCACTGAACCCACACAAAATCTAAATAGACAAATCCTAGTGTTGATGTTTTTTGAATATTTTTTATTAATAAGTTCCAGGTTTACATCTAAATTAAATAGGATTTGGAGTTGTTTGATTATCAATGGTCACATATAATTTTGGTATAGAAATAAAGTTGACACGCACCGCGTATGAACTATGATGCAACTGAGCGAACGGATGGCACTGATATTTAGTAAAGCCATCCGAGTCCACATCTAAGTTAGGTCTAGATCTACTAAAGATTTTAACAAGAATTAATCCACTTGGATTATCAAAAAAATCATGCTTCGTAGATTATTTTAAGGTGAAACGTTAAATCTAGATTTAAATTAAATCGATGATTGGTGAATTAGATTCATGATGACGATCAAATCTGAAATAAAACTTGATTAGAAAGTTTGATCTTGATGCAAAATGAGCACCGAAATTCCCGGGGTAGGCCTGCCGGAACGCCGGGGTCCTAACTGGAGTACTAGGGTGAAATGACGGCAAACCGCAGTCAAACTACTTCATGACGATGAAAATCAAAGTGCAATTTCAAGAGCAATATTTAACTAGTCTTTTCCCCAAAAATCTGTTGAGAACTGTCTCCAAATGTAACGAAATTACCGTACATCACGAAGACTATTGCAGCTTTTTCAAAATGATGACTAAACTCACTTAATCTACTCATATTTCAATCAATTACTCACCCATTCTCAATGAACTTACTCTTCTCAGTTTGTGCGAGTGTAGTAGCGTCGTGCATAAATCTGCATAATTAAAGTGACGCAATAAGGTCAAATATACTATCCGGTTTCTTAAACGATACTATCGATAAAATACATATTCATGAGGCTCATATCCAATCAAAAAGCCGCCTCGGTAGCTTATTTTGTCTTCAAATGATCCAAAAGAGGCGGAGCCTAATCCCATTCGTCTGCATGGTTTCCGCGCGTGCTGCTTTCCGTCTAGTAATTATATTTAAACGTCTTTGGGGTTATCCCCCAACCACCTGCTTACGCGCCTCTGTGTGCGTGCGTATGTGTGCGTGTGTGTGTGCGTGCGCGAGCGCGTGAGAGATAGAGAGAGAGAGAGAGAGAGCAAGAAAGGGGATAGAGAAGACGGTTAAAATGACGACAGCCATATTTACAACTACACCCTGCACTGGAGAAACGTGAAAAGTCAGGGAAAACAGACAGGTATGGAAAGATATAGGCAATAGCAGGAGCCTAGCTTAGAAGGGAGAGAGAGGCAGGGGTTAGAGAAATTAAAACGGGAAGAGCGAGGCAGTGGTTAGAGAAATTAAAACGGGAAGAGCGAGACAGTGGTTAGAGAAAGTAAAACGGGACGAGCGAGGCATGCAGAGACAGAGAAAGGGGGAGATATAGAGGGGGAAAGAGACAATCAAAACAACAACAAACTAACAAACAGAAACAACCAGAAAATCGAACAAACACAAGCAAGACCGTGTTCTACCCCCCTTTTAATTTTATATCCTTTCATTTAACTTTCCAAGGAATTAAACGCTGCATAATGGTTTCCCTTTTTGAAGAAAAAATATAATTTGACTATCATCATGATCATGCTAAACCACATTGTGTGAATACACCTGTCATTAAAGGGGAAGTCCACCCTGATATTAAGTTGGTTTAGATAGAAGCAGAAAAATGAGAGGAACAGGTCATTGAAAGTATAGGAAATTTTGGGTAAAATTAAGAAGGTTATGTATTTTTGAACTTGTGATCATTCAAACACAGATTTGCAAATATGTGACCTATCTTGCGAGCTCTCGATCCTCCCATTTGCTCTGTATGAACTAAAACAAATCAGAAAAATGTAATTTTTGTCCACCACATTATTTCAAATATGTTATTATTCAAGCCCTGTATGAACAAATACATTTCGTCATCAATAACGAAGAAAATGAAAGTTTATGAAATTCATGTCCAGAAAAAAATGGGAGCTCGCAAGATACGTCAAAGAGTTGCCAATTTGTGTTTGATTGATCGCAACTCCAGGCTTAATACCTATGGTCTGGCACTTAAAACTTCAGTAAGAACAGTGACACGTATGCATTTATTGGCATCAATGGCATGACACAGTGAATTTATTTCATAAATATTCTCAAGTACAAACAAACATAATTATTCAATGAAAAGTGTTAGACAGCACATTCAAGTGAAACTTGTCTTGAAACATAATAATACCTTCATCATATTCTTCAAGCTTTTTATATGGGACGGACTCATTAAAATCAATTAATCCCAATCCCTATATTTTAACAGATTAATGCAGAAAGATATCAACCAATGCTTTTATATTTCGATACCTTTTTTAACATTTTCATGACATAACTCAGACCCCTCAAAATCAATTACTTTAACATTTTTAGGTTTAACATTGTCATGTAGAATATTGAATCACATGCCGTATTAGGTTATACAAAATAAATTGAGATATGATACAATATGCTAATCGTATATAGCACTTTGTATAGCACTTTGTCATTGTTTTTCCGATTTCTTTAAAACTTTCACCAATCTGCTTGTCATATTTTTCTCTTTTCTTTTAAATGAACTTGCTATTAGTTTGGATTTCCCTTTACCAAATTATATGCACTCCTCTGATATGTCCAAAGAACATTTAGAGTTCATTTGTGCAATCGTTTGAACAAATCATACATATGAGCTCACTTTACTTGGCATTTCTTCCTTGATAATTATGAAAATAACTAAGCAATTCGTGACCCTGCCCCTTTTCAGTTAAGGAGGAAGTAGGCCTATTTCTCTTCTTCTGACAGAGGACCAGGATATATTATCCATTTAACTTTTTGATTTTCTTCCACTGAAATAAAGATAAATTTAAATAAACATACAATTACGTCTCCAACCAACACTAACAGTTTTTTCACATTTAAAAGCGGCAAAACCGCCGTTTCTTTTAAAATAATGATGCAAAATGTGCAATACGCTTCCTAAGTCTGTTTCCTCTAACACAACGCTCAGTGAATGCGCACAAGTAATTTGTTGCCCACATTTACCATTTATTTAAATTGACAGAAAAAACAGGGATAAAAACAAACGTCTTGATGTTACATGTTTTAGAAATGTTATGTTACTTTTGTGTTTTAATAGATAAGAGATACATGACATCATAATGAGCAGCCGTGAACCAATTTGAAAGTCCTATTCGGGACCGTAAAACAGAGACTTCTGGTGTGACCAGCTGTCAACAATAATCTGTTGATACCTGAACTGCATGGTTATCGTTTGCGATTGCACAATACATACATATACATATATAGAAGAAAGTCTAGATTTCTGCTCAAAGTTCGAGAAAATACACAAAAATACATTATACATTTTACATTAATTGCTCAAGGCGCACATTTAAAAACAAAATCAAATGCTAATAAAATCTTGCAACCATCATGGTATATGCAAAATAATGGAAAATTCAATGTTTGGAATAGGTGAATAAAATGTTTCAGTTTCGAAGCTGTAAAAATGGAATTGACAAAATCGATAAAACATGACTGTGTAATAAAATTTAGAGAGCGCTTGATACAAATATTATTTAATGGTACTATGTCCCTTTTCCAGCCAACCTCAAATTCTGTAGAACTTTGCAGGAATTATGAATATGTCATGTATGTCCTATCTGTAAAATTTAAACGTTAGCAGTGTCCTTATATTCAAATTATGCAAGGAAACCCGTTAACTTGCTAGACTTCACTGTCAGACACTATTGTCAGTATTGAGTGACTGACTGGCTTTTTCTTCTTCTTTGGTAATAACATACATAAGATGAGCTGTTAAGGATTTGTCTACATCAATAACCCACTTCTTGTAATGGCCAAAATTAAACTGATTGAATCTTTGCGCAGCATAAAACGTACGACCATGCGGTACAATGGTCTGAAAATCAAGACTATTACTTATTGGCTCTATAGCTCCTAAGTCGATTTGAGAACTAATAGTCGTTATTTTCCCATTTAAAGATATTTTCAAGCCCCTTTTTTAAGGGGAGCTCTAAATTAGTATTATCTTTCAAATGCCATTGGAATTGAACCTTTTCATTTGTTGGCCTGCAAAAGGGACATAGTACATTTAAAGCGCCTTGATGTATGAGCTGTAAATGGTATCATATTATAATATGTATACAGCATTCATGGTTCTAAGTGCTGTACAATATTATCATAACCCCACCTTTAGCCAGGCTAGCAAACGTTATAAGAAAAGATTTCTTCGTACCGGGTAAACATTTCCTACACCTGGGTGTAGAGAGGCACATGAACATTATAGTCTTGCCAGAAGATTTTCGTGCAATGACTCAAAAAGCAAACAACACAAATAGGCCCATGGCCTAAAACAAACATTACATGCATTACATTTCATAATCAGTTAATATGATATAAACATCTGTCCATCCATTTACAAATAAAGAGTGACATATAATATAACCAGTATAATTATACAGAACATGTGAACAAAATTGCATAGATCCGAGAGGTAATACTGTTTTTAAGATGAATGCAGCATTATTGTAGAACAAAAGTAAGCAAGATATCATATTAAAAAACTATACAATATCAGACTATCAGCAAAATCATCGAAATATATGCCAATAGAAAATAACAAAAAACCTGATGACTTGTATTGCATAATTGATTGATAGTTAAGTACTTGTAAGTGTTTGCATAGTAAATTAGTATTGCACTTATATGTAACAGTTATTTTGAGGTAGAATGGCAAGAAATCAAAATAGGAAATGGTAGTATTGAAATAAGTATTCCATCAGTGTGTGTGTAAGATAAATTCTCGCTACCGTCGGTAACCCGACACATGCTCCGTCGACGATTGCTCCGCCGACATTTACTCCGCAAAACGCGACAATTGCTCCGCGACATTTGCTCCGCGACATTTGCTCCGACGTCAAATGCTCCGCCGACAGTTGCTCCGCCGAGAGTTGCTCCGCCGACAGTTGCTCCGCCGACAATTGCTCCGCCGACAGATGCTCCGCCGACAATTGCTCCGCCGACAATTGCTCCGCCGACAATTGCTCCGCCGTCAATTGCTCCGCAAAACGCGACAATTGCTCCGCCGACATTTGCTCCGCCGACATTTGCTCCGCCTGAAGCGACACTTGCTCCGCCGACATTTGCTCCGCCTGAAGCGACAATTGCTCCGCCGACATTTGCTCCGCCGACAATTGCTCCGCCTGAAGCGACAATTGCTCCGCCGACATTTGCTCCGACGACATTTGCTCCGCCCAAAAAGTGTCCCATAAACTACAAATGCTACTAGTACTACGACAAATGCTTCGCCGACAATATTTTCTTTACACCTATTTTTTTCGTTTCTTTTTTTCTTCTTCATTTTCTGAATGCATTTCTTGAAATAATGAATGTTGATGAAGTGGGAGGAAAAAGGAGTTACCTAAAAGTCATTTCGAATATACTGAAATAACTTTCCATCTATCACTGTACGTCCCATATAATGTATACTAAACACTCATTACATGTCGTGGGAAGTTTTTAAAAAAAAGTAGAGCAGCAAGCCACATTCCCCAATACGCGCATACCTCCTAGTTAATTTCAAGTAGCTCATCAATATGTAATACCTGAAATTACCTCGATCAATGCATCTTACTAAGTAAAGCATTATACAATGTAATAGGTCATCATGGAAGTTTAGAAAATAAGTAAGGGGGATTTACCAAGTGTTGATCTTTTTAAGAGTTTTATAAAGAAACAAAAAGATATTGAATATTTCTCAGCGAAAAAAAGGAACAAGCTTGTTTCGCATTTTAAGAAATGGCGATTTGACTTATGATACTCATGTTGATTTAACTTTTATTCCTGTGCCCCCTCACTCCCCTTTATGCACTGGAGTTCAAACTATGATTTATATGTGTACAGTGTATTTTTTTTTACTATAATGCTTTTTTTTTTATAACTTTCTTGTCCTTTCATTATTGTTAGTTGTTCTTATACATATTGGTTTTTTTGTTTGGCTAATTATTACCAATGACTTGTAAATATGTAATTTTTATATGATTGAAAATTTAATAAACACACAAATATAAAAAAAAGTTTAGAAAATAAGGGCACTTATATACGTAAGGAAGAGAACCCATTCAGACGGGAAAATGAGATGGCAGCCTTTCTGCTTATTCACATCTATACAAATCATTTTGTTGCAGTTTGATGTTAGTTCTTCATGATAAGCCAATTGCTCTTCTTCCGGTGGCTTCGTGAGTCCCTTAAATTATTTAGTGAAAACAAAGTACTCGAATGAAACGGAGTGTTTTGCACACTAACATATATATATTAAAGCTACATACACTTAACTAAAGGAAAGAAACCTTTAGAAAATGGACTGGATATTATTGAAAATATTATTCTAAACAAGAATGTACTACATGATTGTATTACTTTACGTTTCAATTTCACGAGAGAAATAGAACTCGAGAGGGGGAGCAGAGAAGAAGGGATGGAAATGAAAGAAGACTAATAGCATGAGAGGAAAGAAAAGAGCAAAGAAGACAAGAAAACGGTGTAAAAAGGAAAAGGAGGAGCATGGGAGAGAGAGAAAGAGAGAGAGAGAGAGAGAGAGATAGCCTTGAGCTTTGGATCAGCTAATGAGTAATACATGAAACAGATTTTGAGCGGAGTAATTATCTTTCGCCGGAGAACTTGCGTAAGGAGCTATAATTTTATTTTTTATTTTTTTAAATCAAACATTATGGGGAATAGCAAAAAACGGTTGTCTTTTTTGCTCTTTTCTTTCCTCTCATGTTATTAGTCTTCTTTCATTGAGGTAATTTCAGGTCTTACATATTGATGAGCTGTTTGAAATTAACTAGGAGGTATGCGCGTATTGGGGAATGTGGCTTGCTGCTCTACTTTAAAAAAAAAAACTTCCCATGACATGTAATGAGTGTTTAGTGTACATTATGTGGGACGTACAGTGATAGATGGAAAGTTATTTCAGTATATTCGAAATGACTTTTAGGCAACTGCTTTTTCCTCCCACATTATCAACATTCATTCATTTCATTTCATTTACATAATGTCATGAAATGCATTCAAAAAATGAAGAAAAAAAGAAAGAAACAAAAACAACCCGTGAAAAAAAAATATTGTCGGCGAAGCATTTGTCGTAGTACTAGTAGCATTTGTATTTAATGGGACACTTTTTGGGCGGAGCAAATGTCGTCGGAGCAAATGTCACCGGAGCAAGTGTCGCTTCATGCGGAGCAAATGTCGTCGGAGCAATTGTCGGCGGAGCATATGTCACCGGAGCAATTGTCGCTTCAGGCGGAGAAATTGTCGGCGGAGCAATTGACGGCGGAGCAAATGTCGGCGGAGCAAATGTCGGCGGAGCAAATGTCGGCGGAGCAAGTGTCGCTTCAGGCGGAGCAAATGTCGGCGGAGCAAATGTCGGCGGAGCAATTGTCGCGTTTTGCGGAGCAATTGACGGCGGAGCAAATGTCGTCGGAGCAATTGTCGGAGGAGCAATTGTCGGCGGAGCATCTGTCGGCGGAGCAATTGTCGGCGGAGCAACTGTCGGCGGAGCAACTGTCGGCGGAGCACCTGTCGGCGGAGTATTTGACGTTGGAGCAAATGTCGCGGAGCAAATGTCGCGGAGCAATTGTCGCGTTTTGCGGAGTAAATGTCGGCGGAGCAATCGTCGGCGGAGCATGTGTCATGGAACCCTACCGTCACATCCTGCTCTATGGTGAGGTAGGTTTAAGATCCGTCTTAGCTCGTCGTTTACCAGGACGCTGTTCCAGGCTCTCATCAACTCCATCACCCTCACCTTTAGCGGTGTGGCTGTGAATGCGTTTGCTATGGAATAGGGAGACAGAGAGAATAAGAAAGGGAGAGAGAAGGAAAGAGAGAGAGAGAGAGAGAGAGAGAGGGGGGACACGGAGAAACAAAGATAAACATAAAACAAAAAGAGACAGAGAGAAAGAGGGATAGGGTGAGAGACAGACAGAAAGATAAGGATACAAAGAGAGAGAGAGAGAGAGACAGAGAGACAGAGACAGAGAGAGAGATAACGATACAAAGAGAGAGAGAGAGATAGAAAGAGAAGGAGGAGGGGGCATGGAGAGATTGTGAGATAAAGAAAAACAGAGGGGAAAGATGGAGATTGAACAAGTTTAGAAACAAGAGGGTGAGGGAGAGAGAAAGAGAGAGAAGTAATCAACATAATAGTGTTTGAGAATTGGATTTTTTTTTAGACGGAATAGGGGTGCGGGATCGGAGAGGGTAGGATGAGAGAGGCTTAAAAGCCAGGTTGAGAGGGGGAAAACTGGGATGTGAAAATGGTTTTCAAATATTCAATCCAATCTAAATGTCTATATATAATTTTATGGCAAATATGAAAAATATTCAGATTTCTGTATATGTACCAAGCAATCTGCCATAATGTGCAACGATGGCGACCCAATACTTGCTCTGGCGGCGCTTGCTCCAGGCTTTAGTTCATCAGGAATGTGGGGTTGGGGTTGAATTTGTTGTTGGGTTTTTTGAGCTGGGTTTGTGCTTGGTGATAGGTTGGGTAAGGTATAGGTTTCTTAACCGGGCTTGGGATTGGGAGTTTGATTAATAATGTACTGAATTGCCGCAGAGTAAGTGTAGCCGGAGCAGGTGTCGTAGAAGCACAATTATATATTACATGTACAACAAGAATTGCAATTTTACTACCATAATGTTACCATGCATATGTATTACGTGTAATTTAATTTTGTCACTGATGTATAAATTTTTTTTTAACTGCAATTCTGCTCTAGGGCCGCTAATGTTTTTTAATGAAATAAACCATTTTTTGTATTTGTTAAAGCAAATCAGATTCCTTTCAATCATGGCATAATGTCATCGAATGTCATTAGAAAGAAATAATAAAGCATCACGGTGAGACAATAGGGGGGTTTGAATAAGGCGTAAACGTGTTTCAAAATAAAATCAATTAATGCCGTTCTGGCTTTAAACAGATGATTATACAAGTACAAGAAATGTTGAAGACAGCAATATAAATTTTAAAAAATGGAGAGAGAAAGGGAGAGCGAGAGAGAGGGTCAGGATGAGAGAGATAGGGGGATATAGAATTAGAATGAGGGAGAGGGAGAGAGAGAGAGAAAGAAAAAAAAGGTAACTGTGTATTATGTTACTTACCGATGTTCAGGAATTCGTTCACTCTCGACTGGAGCTGCAATAAAACAAAATAAATACAAAATGGGAGGATATCCAGTTGCAAAAGAACTTCAAATGAAGAATATAAAATTGAATTATAGTAAAGCTTTGAAAAATTCATAACAAATCTTGTATTTGGAAAGAACTTAACAATCTTATATGCGAGTACAAGTATTTACAATATGCATATGCAATAGAAGCAACAATGTTATTTGTACATGTATGTAGACTCTCTTATACCGTATCATTTTCTTTGGGGATTGCTCATACTTTATTTAATTATGACCATGATATGAATGTATGTATTTTTAAATAGTTGATAAAATCATATTAAAATCTAATGATTCCTCTTCTTTTATGATTTAACGTTACAGGTTAAACTAAAGCATATTTTTTGTTTAACTTATAATTTGACAGAATACATATCTGTTTTTATAGCTAAACGTTACATCATGCAAGAAAAACACATTACTCAAAATCAATGTTTTATCTTAACACACTAGACAAAAGGGGTTATGAACTCTAATTACCAAGTACCAATTTAACACCTAGAGAGTGGCAAATGTAGAATGCTATCTTGCCAAAAGGAAATTAGTGCCGAGGCGGGGTTTTAAAATTGATCCGTGCGGTGCACAGTCTGGTGACTTGCCTACGAGACCACGATAACTCTACAATGATCATCCCATTTCGTGAATGAAAGAAAATATATTTAATCTGACCTTGTCATACCATGATTTCATTAGTCATTGCATGGTGATCATAAGGGCCTATACAAGTATTAAGCCTGATTTCCATACCTGCATCAGTTCTGCTTTGTGCCAAAAGGAAATTAGTGCCGAGGCGGGGTTTGAAAATTGATCCGTGCGGTGCACAGTCTGGTGACTTGCCTACGAGACCACGATAACTCTACAATGATCATCCCATTTCGTGAATGAAAGAAAATATATTTAATCTGACCTTGTCATACCATGATTTCATTAGTCATTGCATGGTGATCATAAGGGCCAGTATTGAGCCTGATTTCCATACCTGCATCAGTTCTGCTTTGTGCAGAACTCAATCCACTGGTTGAGAGCACGGCAAGGCTATCATCATTCTCATAGAATGGTTTCATTCCAATTGACATCCCTCCATGATGCACCGAAGTTCGGGAATTGATGTATTCTGAAGATGACGATAGCGTGGTGTCTTCGATTTCTATTGGGGTTGCATCTTCACGTCTCTGGCTTACAGCGGTGTCCTGTGTTGCTTCTCCTAGACCATGGTGTGGCGAATGTTGTAGCGTTTCTTGAGAACTTGAGTTTAATGAGTATTGAGTTGCATGACCATTACTGGCGTTATGCTGTGCAGATAGATAGGACTGTAGAACCTGTTCAAACTCCTCAAGATGTTGCTTGGTCGATTGATCTGGTGCAAATGTAGATTGGAGTGACATTATCGGTGAAAGTTGCTGATGCATTGTGGATTGGTCAGTTTGTTCTGGCTCTGATTGAATGCCTCTGTGAGGATCACTCTGGAACTGTCCAGAAGGATGTGCCGATTCCAGCAGGGGAACATGGTTAGGGAGGTATGGCTGTTGGTGTGTACTAGGCATTGGCCTTTCACACTGGTTGAGTTGTCGTTGTTGTTGATATCTTCTTACTGACCACCATTGTTGTTGTTGTTGTTCTGACCTCCATCGTTGTTGAAGTTGTTGTTGTTGTCGTTGTTGTTCTAACCACCGTTGTTGTTGTTCTTGTTGTCGTTGTTGTTCTAACCACCATCGTTGTTGTTGCTGTCGTTGTTGTTCTAACCACCGTTGTTGTTGTTCTTGTTGTCGTTGTTGTTCTAACCACCGTTGTTGTTGTCGTTGTTTTTCTAACCACCGTTGTTGTTGTTGTTGTTGTCGTTGTTCTAACCACCATTGTTGTTGTTGTAGTTGCTGTCGTTGTTGTTTTCTTACTGACCACTCCTGTAGCATGCTGATATGCTCCTTTTCCCTGAAGTAAGGATTCTGACATGACAAGTGCACACAGATATTTAGAGAAAAAAGGAAATAAATAAAATTTGATTGCCTGCAAAAGGAGGGTAAAGGAGACAAGGGATTAGGAATGTATAGAATCGGTCAGCCTCATCCATTTCCCCCTATAAACACACTTTTATTTTCTTAGAAACACCTTTTTTTTGGCTGTACATGTCGATCATGTAGAGCTAATAAACAATACCATTACAATTCATTAGATATTATTATTCATTAGATACTTCAAATTGAACAGCTGTATTGTGAGGGGGCGATGATGTACAAATCAAGAGGAAAACAATTTTATGACTTGTGTGGTTTCTTGAACAGAAGGAGTTTCAAACTTTTTTAGAAATTATTTTCTGTCATCAGGGTGTAGCTAACCACCCCTCTCAATGACACAGGATTAATAAGATTGCATCAGCTTATGTACATTCATTGATAACTTTTCCTGTGACCTGTAACATCTGACCCCATGAACTCATACGCTTTTCGTTTAATATTAAAGTGGATTTACATACTAGGTCCGATTTTTGTTAAATCATCACAGTTATGAGATATTTTCTGGATTGTTTCCACTGTTAAGATCCTATAATCCTTCACATTCATGACCTCTTACACTCGAAATATAATCAGTCCACCATGGTATGCTTATAAATATTTGTTCAAGATTAGCTTAAATTGCTTCAATACTTTAAAAGTTAACACTGAAACAAAATATTTGTATCTTCTTTTTTTTTTGGTATTAAAAAAAAGATAAATGAATTTCTGTTTTGTTTTGTTTGGTTTGAATTGCTTCAATCCTTTTCAAGTTAACATGGTAAAACAATATTTTTTTGCAAATTTGTTGTACTTTCAAACTTTTTTGATGACTTTGTGACTATTGACGTTTCCCCTCTGTCACGATTAAATCAGTCATCCTTGTATAGTACTTCATTAAATTTTGGTTTGTATTGCTTTAATACCGTCCAAGTCATCACGGTAATGGAATATTATCTGTATTTTAAACATCTTTTTTAGTCTGAGACCTTTAACATTTCACTTGTTCTACACACAATCAAATCAGTTCATCCATGAATGCTCATACTCTATCAAAGTTTGCCTCCATCCATCACCTTCAGTGACAGAGGCATACCAAACAATTAAAGGCATGTACCTTGGGATTTCATTTGTTCTACTTTGTTTTTACAAACACTATTCATTAAAGCACATCTGCACTAGTTTGGCCAGGGGGATTAGACCTCCCTGCAAGATCACTGACAGGTCATGGTTATCTCATCAAATCAGTTCTCAATCAAGATAAGATCTAGATGGAACTTTGACTGTGTGAAGTTGAAAATGATGCCTCCGCCATAGAGCCATTTCACATACCAAAACACAAGCAATTTTTCAAATTCAAGTTTAGTTGTAATCCATTAACAGGTTGTCAGAATATCGTGAGTACAAGCTATTTTTCATATACATGTATGACTCTTTTATCTTTGACCTCATGACCCTAAAATTGTATCTGTTTATTAGCTTTGCAATATACATACATGACGTAAGTTTGATGGTAATCCCTCCATCGGTTCTTGACATAATGCGATCACAAGCTATTTTTGGATATATAATGAGTCTCATGACCTTTGACCTCATGACCCCAAAATATAATCAGTTCATTGGCTCAGCAAGATACATACATGTCCTGCGTTTGATTATAATCTGTCCATCGGTTCTATTGATGTGATCACGACCTATTTATGCATACATAATGAGCCATGTGACCTTTGACCTTTAACTTAGTGACCCCCAAATCTAATCAATTTATTGGCTTTGGAAGATACATACATGAGCTAAGTTTGGCAGGAATCCATTGCTCAGTTCTTGAGATAATGCAATCACAAACTATTATTGCATACATAATGAGCACTGTGACCTTTGACTTTGACCTTGTGACCCCAAAATCTAATCAATTCATAAGCTCTGCAAGATACATACATGATCTAAGTTTGGCAGGAATCCAATCGGTTCTTGAGATAACGTGATCACGAGAACGGGACGTACGGACGGACAACCCGAAAACATAATTACTTCGTAACAGAAGCATAACAAAGGGGATCATGGGGGATCATGGGGGACCAACAGGCACCGATTATGCATTGTTTGCTATATAGAGGGCATGAGTAGCTATAAGTAGTGCATTGGGGCTTTAATATTGGGTTCCCAACAAAATTTTATTTCGCTCGTTCTCTTTGTCTATCTCACCCTAAACTCTCCAAGCTTATTCACGCCACGTGATGAAACCACCAATTCGATAAACTGAACAGACTCAAGGTCTAGTTAAAATTGGAAAAAAAGGAAAGGATATTTTGGGGAGTTCAAATATTCATGTACACAATATTTTATACTTGAAGTATACATTTCTCATGCTTATGTAAATTCATATTTAATTCTATAATTCCTGAAGAGTAGTTACTCAATAGATTTTTTGTATTGATTCACAACCCCAATTTTTCTTCTCCTTTATTTTTGCCCAATTTCGTCATGGTTGTTTTTTAAATCTATAAATGGACGAGTCTGGCTTTCAAAACTCCTACACAAAATCCTTACTTTGCTAGTTACACAACTGTGTGAAAATTGATGAAGAACAGCATAAGTGCTACTTCATTCATGTATGTTTCTACTGCCTGAGCACTGACTTTTCTTATTACCTGTGAGGATGCAGCCAAGGATTTTAGTTCAGTGAAGAAATCATCAGGTAAATATTCATTTTCTTTGATCTCTAAGGTTGTAAGGCAGGGTAGAGAGCAGAGAAACTTGGCAAGCTGCTTGGAAGCTGACTGACTTAGTAATCCACCTTGCCTGGCATTATACCTACATAAATCCAGGTTGACCGTTTGGATCTGTAGGGATAGAAAATCAATTGGCAGCAGCCATGTACATGTAGCATACGCATTATTACATGTATGCATCATTGATATTGAAATGACAAGAACTATGGGGTGAATTTTGATAATTCAGTTTAATCATCACAGTAATAAGTATCTGGGGGGATTTCAACAACTTTCAAGATCCTATGATCTCATGATAATCCACATTCATGACCTCTTACACCCGAGATCTAAACAGTCCATACATACTTCTTACAAGTTTAGCTTCAATGCTTTTAAGTTAACGCTGACACACGAAATGTTCTAGCATTTTGAGGGTTAAAAGAAAAAGATTCATGACTTCCTATCTATTTCTTAGCTTTAACCTGTTCTCTCTTACAAACGTAATATAATCACCTCATCTTAATCTGCTCATACATACTTCATCCAAGTTTGATTTGTATTGCTTGAATTCTTTCCAAGTTACCGCGGTAATGAAATATTTAAACACTTTCATGACGCTGTGACCTGTAAAATGTAACCTCTTTTACCCAAAATCTTATCAGTTCATCCTCGCATGCTCATACATACTCCATTAAAAGTTTGGTTAAAATCCTGAAGGTATTGCAGTAAAGAAATGCGGGACCGACTGACAAGCCAAAAGGAATGTAATACCTCCATGTATCATCAGCTTTGGTGACGCAGCCAAAAAAAAACGAAAAAGGCAATTACCTCAACTTTATTTTGTTCTGCTTCTTTTTTACCAACACTATTCATCAATGTAATAGGTTGCCAACAAAAAATGTCACTCTTCTCTCTCTATATCTCACCCTCTACTCTCCAAGCTATAGCTCACGCCACGTGATAAAAACATTGATTCGATAAACTGAACAGACTCATAGTCTAGTTAAAATTGAAAAAAGGATAGGATTATTTGGGGAATTCACATTTTTATGTACACAATATTTAATTCATAGAGTATGCTAAGTTCTCATGCTAATGTATTTCATATACAATTCTATGATTCCTGAGTAATAGTTACTCAATATATATATTTTTTAATTGATTCATAACCTCCGATGATTCTTCTCCTTTATTTCTTGCCCGATTTCATCCTGGTTATAAATGGACGAGTCTGGCTTTCAAAACTCCTGCACACATTTTGTTTACTTTGCTGGTTATACTACTGTGTGAAAATTGATGAAGAGCAGCAAAGGTGCTTCTACATCCATGCATGTTTCTACTGCCTAAGCACTGACTTTTCTTGTTACCTGTGAGGATGCAGCCAAGGAAGCTAGTTCAGTGAAGAAATCATCAGGTAAATATTCATTTTCTTTGATCTCTAAGGTTGTAAGGCAGGGTAGAGAGCAGAGAAACTTGGCAAGCTGCTTGGAAGCTGACTGACTTAGTAATCCACCTTGCCTGGCATTATACCTACATAAATCCAGGTTGACCGTTTGGATCTGTAGGGATAGAAAATCAATTGGCAGCAGCCATGTACATGTAGCATACACATTATTACATGTATGCATCATTGATATTGAAATGACAAGAACTATGGGGTGAATTTTGATAATTCAGTTTAATCATCACAGTAATGAGTATCTGGGGGGATTTCAACAACTTTCAAGATCCTATGATCTCATGATAATCCACATTCATGACCTCTTACACCCGAGATCTAAACAGTCCATACATACTTCTTACAAGTTTAGCTTCAATGCTTTTAAGTTAACGCTGACACACGAAATGTTCTAGCATTTTGAGGGTTAAAAGAAAAAGATTCATGACTTCCTATCTATTTCTTAGCTTTAACCTGTTCTCTCTTACAAACGTAATATAATCACCTCATCTTAATCTGCTCATACATACTTCATCCAAGTTTGATTTGTATTGCTTGAATTCTTTCCAAGTTACCGCGGTAATGAAATATTTAAACACTTTCATGACGCTGTGACCTGTAAAATGTAACCTCTTTTACCCAAAATCTTATCAGTTCATCCTCGCATGCTCATACATACTCCATTAAAAGTTTGGTTAAAATCCTGAAGGTATTGCAGTAAAGAAATGCGGGACCGACTGACAAGCCAAAAGGAATGTAATACCTCCATGTATCATCAGCTTTGGTGACGCAGCCAAAAAAAA